TCCCAGGCCAGGAGACAGCCGGGGATGCCGGGGCTGAATCACATGTTGACCATTCTTCGGGCATTTCTACCACAATATTGGAATTGGACACATTGGCCAAATAAAGTTGAAATTTTACTACCCGCTGTGGCCTCTGCTGTATTTCTTCAAGTCACAGGAGCTGGGCTAAAGAGATTCAGCCAGCTTTGAGGGGCCACTGTTGTCACGACCTCTGTGTTGAAGTGTCACAGTGCAGAAACAGCTCAGGCACAGCTTGGGGTTACCCAGGGCCTGAGCACCTGCAGGCGGCCAAGCAGGGGCGTGTTGATCTGCCCATGGACCAGGGCCACGATGTTGACTCGACCTTTGTGCAGCTGCCCTGGCCACCAGGGACATGCTGGCCATCTCATCCCCTGCCCTCACCTCAGTGATCAGACAAGAATTTGGGTGGATCAAACCTCAAGAAGAGGTAAGATGACGGACTGGGATTGTGGGGCACTGGGCTCGATTCCCAGCACCACATAAAAAAAATAAAGGTCCATCAACAACTGAAAAATATCTCAAAAGAAGAGGTAAAATGGACACGTTGTCATGATTATTAACCAAACCTTGATAGAAATAAGACGGGACGTTCGCTGGGTTTTACACTGGCCTGATGCAGCAGTGCACACTGGTACTCCCAACTTGCAAAGTTCAACCAGCCTCAGCAACCTACCCAGGCCCTCAGAATTTAAAACAAGGGGCAGGGGACTGTGCTGGGGATTTGGCTCAGTGGTAAAGCACACCCGAGTTTAATCTCTGGTACCAACAATAAATTTTAAAAATTTGACGTGCTTGTGGGTCACATACAGGAAAAGGACAATTGGAATCCACTTTGAAGACAATGGGCGATGGGGCTGCTGAGCCTGGCCATCTTCCCCTACCCACTCGGGTACATCAGGACCTCTGCAGGACCACACAGGAGAGGCAGCACGGGAGGGGCATGGCAGCATCTGAGGGAGCCCAGCACAGCCTCCAGCAGGCTTCTGTCCCACACTCGCCAGGTGGCCTGCTTCTTGAAGGAGCCTTCAGCACCACCAGCCTCCTGGGTCCCCCCTACTCATGCCAGTGGCCCTGTAGAGCCCTTAGATGTGCTGGTACAGACCCAGCTATTGGGCCAATGCAGGGCTCACTGGGAGTATGATTCTACACTGGGCACCTACCCAAGGGCACGGTGGGTGGCCAGACCCCCACGCCCACCCTTGCAGTGCTACACAGGCCCTCACAAGCCCAGGGCCCCTGCTTGTGTGCTGTTGTGCAGTACACAGCCGGCAGGTGATGGAGACTGGTGTCAGGTCCTTGGGCACACTGGCTTGCCCAGGCACCCATGGTCCTGACACTGCCCACTCCAGCCTGTCCACTTTGCTGGCTTCCGGGTGGCCCATGTTGGGGGTGATTTCCAGCCAGTTGGGCTTCAGGTGCCTCAGCAGGGTTTGTGGGCTGTGCCTGGGTCCTGCCCACACAGTGGGGTGCATCTCCATTGTAAAGTAGGCACAGGCAATTGGAGGGGGTGAGAGGACACTAACTGCCCCCCAAAATGTGAGCTGAGGCCCTGGAGATGTGACTCAGGCAGGAGCCACGGGGCCTTTGGGGGAAGGCAGGCAGCAGGGCCAGAGCAGGGGGCCATCTCCAGCCACAGCTGAAAGGGGTGGGCTACGCTCCCTGTCTGAGGGACAGGGTGTGGGTGACCCTGCTTCCCAGCTGTGCAGACGCTTGGTCTCGGGATAGAATGTTGGGACCAGGCGGCCACCATCACGCGCTCCTGGGCCGAGAGTGAGTCACGGATACCTTTCCCCTTCGCAGAGGCAGCTGATGAGTGCATTCCTGGGCTAGGCTGTGCCGAGGCTGTGGGGTGGTGTCCAAAACCTCTCTGGCTGGCCAGTGGATTAGCAAGGCAAGCCTGAAGGCTCTGGGGGAGGCAGTGAAGGCTTAACAGTCTGGGACTTCCCAATCCCTCGCTCTCTCCCCAGATGACCAGAAGCCACTGAAACCTAAAAAGCAAATGCCAGGCTGATGGTGCTCACTGCCCCAGGGTCCTCTGGCCTCAGAGCCTTCCTGGGAGGAAGGACTACAGCCTGCCCTGGGCCGCCACCCTTCAGCATGCCAACTTTCTTTTTTCTTGTTGGTACTGGGGATGGAACCAAACCCAGGGGCGTTTTACCACTGAGCCACATCCCCAACTCTTTTTGTGTGTGTGTGGTGCTGGGGATCGAACCCAGGGCCTTGTGCACATGAGGCAAGCAACCTACCAACTGAGCTGTATCCCCAGCCCCCTTTTATTTTGAGGCAGGATCTTGCCAAGTTGCTTAGGGACTCAGTAAGTTCCTGAGACTGGCTTTGAACTTATGGTCCTTCTGCCTAAGCCTCCCCAGTCACTGGGATCATAGGTATGCCCTGCCGCACTTGGCAGATGGTAACCTTTTTTTTTTTTTTTTTTTTT